AGGGTTTGTGTGAGGAATTGGTCATCTTCAGGGGGACTCGAAGGGCTACGGTAGACCACAACAAGAAGGATAGAATCGGACCCGCGCAGCGGGATTTGGGCCCACAGTGCATCGCAGAAGGGTGCAGGGGTGGTGTCAGCGAGGACAATCGGGATTGGTAGGGCCGCATGTAAGTACAGAGCAACCCCACCAGCCCTCCCTCGTATTGAGTCAGCTCGAAAAATAAAGTGACCGTCTATCGAGATCTCCGCGTCGGAGACATCTGGTGTGAGCCAGGTCTCTGTGAGTGCGATTATGGACGGTTTTTCAAGGCAAGCTGACTGTCTAACATCGCCGAGTTTGTTGAAAAGGCTGAGGCAGTTTGTGTACAAGCATTTCAACACTGCCTCTTCTTCCTCCGAGGGTGAGGAGCTCGTAATTGTTCAGGATTGGCTTCTCGGCCATGTCGTCGGCTAACAGAGCCGTGAAGCGGTATCCGTGTGAAATTTCGTCCTACAATAGGTGATCAGCGGCTTATATTGGAACGTCGCTCCAAGTTCCAGCAGCCAGCGGTGCTGTGTTGCATCGAGTTTCGAACGACCTTTGACTCAGCGGATTATGGTGTATAATGCAGCATAATGCTTAAAAACGGAGCGTCACTCGGTGTCATTCATTTGGTTGGACAATATTAGCTCGACATATCGAAGCCTCGGTCCGATTTTATGACGAGCAACTACTTTGATCTAGGTACCGGAGTGCGACTAAGCTGTCCAATACCGTCGGTCTAATCCAACTGAGGTTCTGAATGGATAATGAAACAAACCGCCGCGGATTATAACGGAACCAAAAGGAGTCTACAGATGGCTGAACCAGCTTGCTCAAGATGTACTGGTTTCATCGATGGCACTGATATCTGTATACAAACACTCTACTATACCAGTGGGTACGTTCGGATGATCGGTCCAAAAACGTTCACGCTGAGTGCACCTAACCGGCGTGATGGAAGCATGCATGTCAGGAGACTATAAAATCAAGGCGACTGAGGCATTAGAATAGCTGAGGTTCTTCGCATTATCCAGCGGTTGAGCAAAAAGCGAAGCAGAAAACTAGATCGACGATACTGAACAGCTTTCATGGAGCAGGGCAGGAATCAATATTCAAAATATGTTCGGGTCCATGAAGTTATTTTTCGCCTGCTCCTGTTTTGCGGATGATAGATCCATTCCCGGCGATTTATTCTCCGAAATGAAGTGTTTGGTCACTGAGGTGTTCGGATGCGATAAAATGTCCAACCGTGATGATATCCTTACCAGTGACAACTCGGTGTGGAGTACAGTGGTCCGGACACGTCTTTCAAAAGCTGGAAAGCTAACTAGTGAAGAAGGCTCCCTATGTGTACAGGTTGGGGCTGTTGCTATTGCGGACCAACTAACGATTTGGCTCACTACAGGAAAATTGAACGTCAGTATTGTTGGACCTCATAGGGCTTGTGGGATTGTTCCCGGGCAGAGAATTGCACTGAAATATGCGACAAACTTGCCGAGGAACATGGGCGACTGAGACATGCGTGCAGGCAACTCATTCGACAAAAGTGATTAGAGATTGTACAATACAAAACCAGTAACGAAACCGGCGCTGACTGCATGTTATTTATTTATACCCGCATGAAGTGCTGCCCTGTTACTAGATCCAACTAACCAGCCGTCCAAAATGTCAGTGTCCTATGACGTCCGTCGTCCACCAAGCACCACCGGCAACGTTCATGCTGGCGCTCTTCTTCTATACGACTCTACCGCACGCGGTCGCCTGTGTAGCAGTATCATGAATCCCTCAGGCTCCTTTTCAGCACAAAACTTTGGCACACTTTAGACGCTATGAAGCGGATTCAAGAGTTTTATTGCGAACAGTAATAAAAAACCAGACGTATAAGCGTAAAAATTCGACAAAAAAGTATCGACTTCATGGGCGGCACAAACTAAATGTGGATCATTCGGTGAACTTTCAGCCTTTGCTCCCCCGAAGTCAATAGTTTTTCTGTACAGTTTGCGATCAAGCCTCTGTGCTGTCACGGACGCACTCTTCTAAGGAACTTTTATATCCGACTCCGCCATAACAACCCCGGGGAGTCTCTGCACTCTCATTGTACACCATGGTTCTGAGATTCCTGCTTGCATTTATCTGTATTGCTAATCCATCCGCGTCATCATACCCAATCACACATTTCGTGACCATGGCCCTAAGACCAACAGTTCATGGCCACGAGTGCTCAGCGTTTGTTCCATGTTTTAGTTCATCTGTAGTTAGCCAGTCACCCACACACTTGACTGTTCAGCTCACAGTCGCTCACTTGGTAACGAGGCTTGTCCTATTTTGCATACTCAAAAACCACGTCACATTAAGCTGACCCATCGGACGTCGATTGTCCGCACCTCCTGGCGAGCGTGGCAACTACTAATGTGCTGATGCGCCCACGTACACGGACCTACATTTAAGGAAACTGAACACAGCCGAAACACGCAGACTCGCGTGCGCGTAGAGAGCGGGAAGTCAACCTCTCCACAAGTCCACGGACAAATATGGAACACGCGTAGCAGTTGCACTGCGGAGAACAACACGTTCTCGCCGCCCGGACTTTCACCAAAGGACGCTTGCCTACGATAAGTTCCCTTCTTGACTTGCTCCTATTTCGCATTGTATTTATTTTTATACATGTCGCATCCCACCACTGACAACCATGATAGAAACTTTTATTCGCGCATATACCTCCGGAAATGTGTTATGGCCTTCATCAACCGTGCACTAATGCATCTTCACCGGGTAGATTACGTGAACTCTGCACCCCCACAGGGTCCGTGGTTCTGGTTCCTCATTTCCCGAAATTTGCAGTTTTCTTGTCAAATATCAGGCAGATGCCTCTTGTTTTGCCCTCCCTCGTTTTGTTTTTTCGGCAGCCTTCAAATTTTCAGCGTCCAAATGGGACAATACCCACTGTTTATGACACTGTCCGTTTTTCGCTCAGTCCTATGTACCCATCAACCCCACCAGCTAGGCTTTTAGTCTGACTGTAACATACGATCACGCCTGACAGCGTGCTACCCACCAGTTGGGAATAAACATTGTTATTGCTATTATATAATTATATTCCTGGACAATCTGAGTCATTAGCTACTTATCACCCCTTGAGGAGGCCTTTGAGCTTCGTTACTTGGATTTCGTCACCGGGAGCAACACGAACACCTTCGATCTGGACAGAAAACTACCAATGTACAAACTATCATTACCAATACCACGCAGCCATAACTACAGGTAATGTGCACATCATCAGGCCTCTTTATTGTGACTAATTATGTATGCTATTCTTAAGGCCATCGAAATGAAGAGTCCACCCCGTATGCTTACCATTTTTGAACAGAATGCTTGTGCTGTAGTTGAAGTAAACGCTCCACAGAAATGCATTATTCACAGTTTGGGTGTGATGCAGGCTTTGGGAGGACAATTATGGTGAGAGGCGACAGTCTTCGGGCCACGGTACCCACAAGTTGTGACAAAAACTGAACGATAAACTTTCCTTTAGAATCAGAGTTCTGCGTTGCATTGCTGAGTGCAGCCATCAGATTGACTAAGTTTCTACCATCTTGCAATTTTGTTCGAAAACGGCGGTCAGTAATCCAGCCGGTAGTAACCTGGTAATTCATGGACTAAAGCGCCTGGAAGCCGGTCCAATTTCACGGCGTCCTTCGCCACGAGGTAATGCAACTTGAGCTTGGGCTTAGAGGATGGATTCGTGCTACATGCCACCGCAACCGGTTTCTCGCATATATAGCGTCGACACTCAGGGCATTCATTGACCATCAGGATAAGACGACACGTTGAATTCCGGTGGAATGCATTTGACTAACTTGAGTATCATTGGTCATCGCAACTACGGTGTGACCGGAATCATAACCGGATACGGGCAGACCACATGTCGCCGAGATGCATTTTAAGTTGCAACAAGTCAGCTGAGTACGGGGGAAGATACTTTGGCTTGTGGATTAAGACGTCTGTAGTGGTAAGCCATTTCCCAAATTGATATGAAGCGTCCAAGATATTATTATTACTGTCAAGCACTTGGCCTATTTGCGGCTGATGAATGCTCACTTGTACTAAACGCTAATGTCCATTGTCGGCGTCCCTGAGTGAGTGTTTCGATTAATTTCAGGTACGCCTCTTCAAACTGTTTTCGGTGCTGTTTTACTAATAAATGCGGCTGGTTGAATTCAGTAGACACGTGTTTATATTCGCTAGTAAAATTAACGGCTATACCCCAGCCCGAAAGAACTACAGAAAGCAAGCAGAGTGAAGTCAGGTACACCAGAAATTCGGACGTTTTCTGGACACACTAGTGGCAAGAGCCGTGCAGTGAGCATTGAGAAGTGGTTGGCCTTCGGGACCACTGTTTCGACCAATAAGAGCTCGCCGTGGCAATGGATCGCTAAGTAGCCTGATAGTGCGTTGGCTGGCATGCTTCATTGCACGTGCGTTACCCAGTTGTGAACGGTGAGTCGATTTGCGCTAAGGTTCACTTATCATTGGCTCAGTAAGATTCATTGACTTCCACTCACGGTTTCCAAAAAGGCTGCAATGCCCTTGGCAGTCAAAATCGCATTTTACGTGGCTTTTTAATAAACGCTCCGAACCTTCCGTTTGGTTTTTAGATTGGTTGACTACATCGGCCTCATCCTGTAAATATCTCCCTTGGGAAACAGCCCATCATATTGCAGCTGAATTTAGGACCGGGATGTCTCACTGTCTTAGAAGCAATTTCTTGGAGTAGCATACTTAACTGTTTCATCCATTTAATTCGAGTGTATATAATCGGATTGGCGTGACGGCTGCATTTCTTGATAAATATAAGCCTTATTTTGGGATATTTACTGTCTAGGTTGTGATTAACGGTCTCCTTCTGGTTGCAGTTGCTTATCACAAGGTTCCTGTGTTTCACCAAACTTTTACCTACCCTACCTAAATGAAACCGCTGAACATTATTGTTGCTGTTTCGAACAACTGGGGAATCGGACTTCATGGAAGTCTACCCTGGAGACTGAAGTAAGTTCTGGTCTTCTGGTCGATTCATGCCACATTATTCTCAGCCTCGTTTGTTGAGTTATGATGCCCTTGATAGTAATTCCTATGTATAAACACATTTACCCTTAGATCACCCCTAGTCATCGTTTTAGATATTCGGCGGGAAACCTGTCGCTCCTATGAACAAAAGCGGAGAGCGATGATGTTGCTTCTAGCTTGGCTGGTCATTCAGTTGAAATGATATTGCTATACCAACTTTTCTTTTCCGAAAAGCACTGTCGGAATACTGTGGCTGCGAGCTTGTGGACTATATCTCACCATCTTGTACTGGTTTTCAGTGCACAATATTTTGCTCGTTTGTTCTGACGGAAGACAGTATCGAGCAGCACCTTCATATGGGAGAGGCAACGTCATCATTGTAACGCTGACCAGGTAACTCCATTAATGAGTCATTAATGAGTTTTACGCAAGCACATGCTTCGAAGTAGTAGGCTGAACTGTGAATGCCATTGCAATTGGAAATTCATTATATTCTCGGCATTTTCCGCCTTGTGCTTTACATCTCCAAACCAGAAAGCCAGGTGGCCGTTTCAGCTAACGATCTGAGCAACTACAATAGTCATTTAACAGGCCACCTGCATTCACCGACCTCTTAGTCGAGGCAAAGTCAGCTAAACAAACATCTGAACTGTTCGAAACATCCGGATGGCAAAAATCTCTCAGAACGATAAGGAGTATTTTCCCGCGAAGAGGGAATTCTTCCTGATCGTTACTCAAGTTGACCACATACTTTGACCGCAGTTATGCAGACAATTGTTACGTAACTTTTAAACAGAATTGCAGGACAGCAGTAGGATGGGACAGAAGCGTTTTACTGAGGAACAGTTACCCGAAGAACGGAAACTGAAAATGGCTGTTTTGTGACCCTTCATATATTCACTCAGCTTTCCGTGAACATCAGCTCACGGGCTCACCCAACTTTCGGTGTGCCAGTTGAGTGTGAGGGTGGAGAGAGATTTGGTCGCGTTACTCACGCAGCATGTACGTTCGAGGACGGGAATGTTCAGCTATCAGCTCATGTCTGACAGGTCTGAAAGAAAGTGCAATCCCCTCTGGTGTCTACTTTATATATGCAAATGGGGAATGTTTACTTTTAGGACGATAGTCGGCTACATGCGTGAGTTCGCTTCACTCTGTTGATGAAAATCGTCCATCGAGTGTTATTTCTTTGGGTCCTGTCTGCGGGCGGAGGTTTCATCTATCATGGCGCACTTTAGACTACTACTAACTGCGTTTGGTTTCCTTACATTTCAGCTGGTGAGAACAAAAAAATTTCGCTTACGGTTGGCATGGTACTCGTAAATGACACTTAATCATTGGTGCGAATAACAGGTCCAGTCACGCTCCGAACAAGCCTATCATGATATTCTTATCTCAGTCCTGTGAATGAAATCCCATAGGTGCTCCGTTACTTTTATTTAAGGGCAGCACTGTTTCCGTGCCGTAGACCGTTATTATGAAGAGACCCACTGAGTTATGTAGTGGAGCTCTCGCTATCAGACCGCCTTTGTATTTTGTTGGACTGACCTTGGAGATGTCGAAATACTTCCCCTTAGCAAACAATGCACATGCGATCGATTAGCTGATACTCCGGGGGATCTGTTGGATTGGATTTCTCTGAATGAGGTGACCGGGAGTTTACTTGGCGACCATTTATGAGCGGTTGTCATTACTGAAGGTAGTGTTTGATCGATTGGTTGACTGGTAAAAAACTAGTTCGGGAGCACAACGCGAGATAAATCTGAAGTCTTCCTAACACGCTATATTCTCGGAAGTAATCGACGCACTGCTTGTTTTTGGAGCTACTCTATTGAGTCTCCCATATCAAATGTTCCTCAGGTAATTCATGTATTTGGTCCCGTATACATGAGATTCACCAGGCATTGTTCGCGCCGTTTTCCGTCACTGTTACAACTATGTAAGCTTCACAAACGCTGTTGTGCGTCTTGCTGAATGAAATTTGGCTAGCCAACATTGACTGCGTAATCAATTCTCGTGTGCTTCGAAACCCTATACAGCTTTCGTAGAACAGCTTGGAACGATGAACGTGACAATGAGTCACCTAGCCACGTGACTACTATGAAACTAGTTTGCCACTGATTTTGCTTCCAATGACCTATTGCAATAAAAACAAAACCATAACGACTCAATAAATGCGATGCCGTTTTAACCGACTGTTATTCTATTCACGGGCTTTGCTGTGTTCAGACCCATCGTTTGTTGATTGTATTCAGCTGTTGTTGTCCGGTAACAAAATTTCTATTAGCTACTGAGATAACCTTAGTTTTCGATTGATCACATTTCCCTTGATAACCGACAAATGGATGCATAAGATGGTGCGGTCAGTGTTTCACTGGAAAGGTTGGTGCTTTTCTGACTACTAATCCTTTGCGAGTAGATAAAAGCGTTCACACAACTTTGTTCGGCTTTTAGCGATGGGCTGCTCGCGACAATCGACCGTCAAAATCATACATTTACGGAAATCTGTAGAGTGTAATCTGGCGCCATGAGATCATCATCATCATCAATGACAGCAACATCAGTGTTGGCACTGATGCTTCACTGCGCCATGAGAATCACGGATTCATCCGTGATTCCGTCACTGTGAATTGGGCATGGGAAACAGCAATGTCCTCTGCAAATGACAACTTGGACACACTTTAATGGAAGTTCCTGCTGCACAACCAAAAACTCGCCTTTTAATTGACGCGTTACAGAAACACCGACACCAACCCACACGAGCTATGTTTCCGAGACAACGATTGTCGAACACATGAAGACGTCTCAGTTCCACTGCTCGAATAGGCCAAATCTCGCCCGCACTGTAGCTTGATGCACACGTCCGTTGAGATTCAGGAATACACCATTCTGATGCCATAGGTTTCGCAATTTAGCGAACGCGACCCGGGCCTTGCAGATTCATGCATTGACCTCGTCTGTACCAATCAGAACCAATACAACTTCCGAGATACGTAAAATGCTCCACAACTTCCAGTACCTCTCCCTGGATTGTAAGTGGCATGTTCAGTGATTGCACGTCCACGAGCAGGATCTCACACTTTGTGGGTGCAAAGTGCATACCAAAGGACGAGATGACTTTGGTCAGTTCATCCAAAAACACCGCTTTCTCCTCCTCTTCGAGCGTGAGAACGATGTCGTCTGCATATTCCAGATCGACAAGGTTTTCTTCACAGGCTATTTGAACACCAGGGTTTGGGAGACCCTCCAGCGTTCGTCTCATTATTTCATCGATCACAAAGTTGAAACGGAATGGAGAGAGTGGGCATCCCTGACGGACACCACTTTGTGTGAGGAAGCTTTTGGAGAGCTCCCCGTACACTCTCACACGTCCGGAAGTCTGAGAATACAAAGAACGTATTATGTTTACAAACTTCCGGGGCATTCCTTGGTGGGCAAGCGTCTCGAGAAGAACAGACCGATCAACCGAGTCGAATGCGCCTCGGAAATCCAGGAATACTAGAATCGTGGGTCGCTTATACGTATGGCGTTGTTCTAGCACCTGACGCAGTGTGAAG